TTTGCTTCGCTCTTGCTCTCTTTCTTTCGTCTCGTGGTCGCTCCTTATTGTCCCCATCACCAACTAACTCCAGAAAAAAACAACAACCCCATATTTACACACACACACAGACATATATATACATACAACTTATTATTTTGGTTTTTCTTCCTTCACTTAAAACCCCCTCCAAAAAAGCAACAAAAAAAAAGACGTCATCATTAAACATTCCTGATATACAACATCTAGCCCCACTGGAACCAAAGAAATCATGTACATATATATATATATATAAGACACACACACACCCATCATCATCATCATCATCGTAATCGTAATCGCTCCTCGAACACACACACACACCAATCGTAGACTATACATACGTGCATACAATCTATCATCAATATCGGACCAATGGACCGATGATGGCCCATCGATCCCAGGAATCCTTCCCCCGCCCCCGCCCTCCGACTCCCTGCTCTCCCCACCCACCCATCTCTCCCTGCCTTCCTTCCTCCTCGTTCAACGCTGCCTTGGTCTTTCCTTTCTTTTCAGTCTCTCTTCTCCCCCCCTCCCCCTGGTTCCTTGCTCCTTGCTGCCTCTTCTTCCTTCCCCTTAATACTTTCCCCACTCTTACCTTGTCTCTCTCCTTCTTCTTCCTCTCCTTCCTACTACTCCGTTTCTTCCGCTTCTTTTTTTTTGTCCTTTCCCGCTTTATCCTCAAACCTCAACCTGATTTTTTTTTTTTAAAAAAACAAACAAACTGATAACTGAATCCCGAATCCTGCTTCTTCTTCTTTTTTTTTTTACTTGTTGCGTTGTTTGTTGTTTGTTTATTGTGTGTGTGTATGTATGTGCGGTTGGAGATCTTTGCCCGGCTTCGTCTTCTGAGTCCAATATTCACCTTCTCTCTCTCGAATCTGATTTTTTTTTCTGCTTTTTTTTCTGCCTTTTTTTTGGTTTGGTTTTGGTGCAGTTCATAGTATAAGTGTGTGTGTGTGTTTCTGGCTTTGGTTATCATTGCTGATCTCTTAACACACACACACTCTCTCTCATTTCCTTCTTCTTCTTCTTCTGCCATGCCTTTCTCCTCTTATATATCTGTCCCTTCCTTCCTCTTCCTTAGTTCATTTCTCCTTCTCCTTCTTCTCCTTCTTCTTCTTCTACAATTGTTTTCTAATTTTGTTTGTTTTGTTTGTTTTTATTATTACAAATATATGTTTCTTTTTTATTATATATCTCTTTATATATATATAAATATCTAGAATCAAGGGAGAAGAAGAAAAAATTATAAGAAAAAAAAACATTAAGATGGTAACAGTGGCTGATCTTTGAGCAGGCAATTCTTTTCATTGCTTTTGAGGTAGATTAGGATACCTGTTCTGGGTTGGGGTTTGTCCTTTAGGTTTTCCTCTTCCCTCCCTCCCTCCCTCACTCACTCACTCACTCACTCACTCAAGAAGAACAATGATCAAGATGATGAATATTGTTTATAAGATGAATTGAAGACCGACGGATGGGAAAGAATGGTAGAAGGCTGAGGCTGAGGGAAAAAAAAAGAAAGCAGTAAGCTGTGATCTTCATTGCATTATAATCCGGGTTGTTTGTCCAAAGCTTGATTGGAATCGGAGAGGAAATCAGTACTTTTTGTGTATTCAAAGATTGGGTTTTGTGAGGACCCAGGAGACCCCCCTATAGAGGTGCCTAACCAAAACGTAGGAATGGATTGGCACTCTACACAACCACTTTGACTGAACATCAGACGTGATATCTGGATAGTAATTGCCACATCAGAAAACGTACATACTAAATATGCATCATGGACATGTGTTCTTTAGTGGCTAACCTCAACAAGTGAGTTTTAATAACTGAAAAACTAAAAAAAAAAGTAGGAATTTGTTTTCAGATTTTTTTAGTTTTTTTTTGGGCCTTAATAAAAAAACGCGGTTTTTCCGCGTTTTGACGCGGTTTTGATGCGCCGCAGCACACGCGGTTTCCGCTTTTAGACGCGGTTTTTTAATTAATTTTTTACGGCTTATTTTTCGAGTTTTTTCGAAATTTTAAAATTTATTCCTACACTATGAAAGGTGTAGAATTTAATGGTAAAGTCCTTTTTCCATAAAAATGAATTTTGATTATTAATTTTTTTTCCACTTATTTTTCAATTAATTGTTTGCATGCATGTATGTACCTTATTTTTTATGCTTTTTTGAAATTTTAAAATTATTTCCTAGGTTTCAATGTGTGTAGAATTTAATGGTGCAATCCATTTTTTTTAAAACTCAACGTTTCATTTTTAATACTGAAATTAGACCCATTTTTTCACTTAATTTTTTACAGCTTAATTCCCATCATTTTTTGACATTTTAAATTGATTTCCCACACTTTAAGACATGTAGAAAATGATGGTAACAACCATTTTTCCCCAAAATGAAAACTATACCTTGAATGCCGCATTTGACACGTTTTTTTTAATTAATTCATCACTTTTTCACTTAATTGTTTGCATGCATGTGTGTACCTTATTTTCTATGCTTTTTTGAAATTTTAAAGTTGTTTCATACATTTAAAAGTGTGTAGAATTTAATGGTAACATCCAATTTTCTTAAAACTCAACAGTTCATTTTTAATACTGAAACTAGACACTTTTTTCAATTAATTCTTTACATGTTATTTCTCAATATTTTTTGACATTTTAAGTTTATTTCCCACACTTTAATACATGATAAAAATGATGGTAACAACCATTTTACATAAAAATCAGCGCTTGTTACTGAATACTGCAGTGGACAGGCTTTTTTTAATGTTTTTTTGATTGATTTTTACCGGCCTGATCTTAAGCATTTTTTTTATTTTAAATTTATTTCCTACATTTACAAATGTTTAGAATTGAATGGTGAAGTACAATTTCACTCAAAATACAAGCTTCAATCTTAATAGATGAGCGTACCCTGTTTCTTGCATAATTTGTACCATATACAAATTTTATTTGAATGCAAAATGGATACAGCCATCAATTCTGAAACCTTTAAAAGTGTAGGAAATGAGCTTGAAATTCCAAAAAATAAGGATAATTGAGCGTGTAAGAATTAATTCAGGAAACACGTCAAAGGCATTATTCAAGATATAGTTTTCATTTTGATGAAAATTCATTGTTGCCATAATTTTATACATGTTTGAAAGTGTAGGAAACAAATTTAAAATGTCAAAAAATAATGAAAGATAAGCTGTTAAAAATCAATTGAAAAATATGACTAATTACAGTATCCAGAATGAACCGTTGAGTTTTATGGGAATTGAATGTTACCATTAAATTTTACACACTTTTAAATGTAGGAAACAACTTTAAAATTTCAAAAAAGCATAGAAAATAAGGTACACACATGTATGCAAACAATTAAGTGAAAAAGTGATGAATTAATTAAAAAAAACATGTCAAATGCGGCATTCAAGGTATAGTTTTTGTTTTGGGGAAAAATGATTGATACCGTAATTTTTACATGTCTTAAAGTGTAGGAAGAAAATTTGAAATTTCAAAAAAGAATGAAAATTAACCTGTAGAAATTCAAGTGAAAAAATGGGTCTAATTTCAGTATTAAAAATGAACCATTCATTTTTATGAAAATTGGATTGCGCCATCAAATTCTAAGCACATTAAAACCCAGGAAATAAATTTAAAATTTTAAAAAAACATAAAAAATAAGGTACATACATGTATGCAAACAATTAATTGAGAAATGAGTGAAAAAAATAATTAATAATCAAAATTCATTTTTATGGAAAATGGACTTTACCATTAAATTCTACGCCTTTTATAGTGTAGGAAACAACTTTAAAAATTCAAAAAAACTCAAAAAATAAGCCGTAAAAAATTAATTAAAAAACCGCGTCTAAAAGCGGAAACCGCGTGTGCTGCGGCGCATCAAAACCGCGTCAAAACGCGGAAAAACCGCGTTTTTTTATTAAGGCCCTTTTTTTTTAAGTTTTTTTTTTCTTCTCAAGGCTCACTGGTGAAGATTTACCACTAAAAGGTTTGTGGGCAGGATGCACCTTTGGTATTTACATGTCCTGATGTGGCAACTATCCAGATATCACATCTGATGTTCAGTCAAAGTGGTTGTATACATTTTTCCATTTTGGTTAGGCACCTCTATAGGGGGTCTCCTGGGTCTAGCAAGGGCAGCAAGCTCGTGGAGCGTGAGTGAAAGGGAGGCAAAGTATGTAGATACTCTGGAGTAGTTTGGCTTGCGGAGTCAGTGACTGTGAGAATAGTATGATATAGAATGTGATATTCTGAGAGGCATGAGAAGGAAACTAAACAGAGACAAACAATACATTATTTATATACAAATTGTTGTCAGTTGTAGATCGAGACATATTGTTAGCAAAGCAGTCAGTGAGTATGTGAGACAAGCAGAAATCTTTGTTTTCAGAGCATGAAGAAAGGAAACATAGTGATAGAAAGAAACTGAGGATGGCATTGAGAGTGTAGAATGGAAAAGGACTGAGTATACCGTTGATTGTTTGATTGGTGAAGAAAGTTTTAGAGACTGAGTGTTTAGACGTCTGAGTGAGTTGAGTCTGAGGACTTAGGATAATGCGGAGTATTTGCGGAGCGCTCCGGTTGTAACACTGGGTCCTATGTGAACATAATGATGATGTTGGTTGGCTTTGGGGCCAAGATACAGACACTCTTACTTTGGTCTTTCTCTCAACAAGATTGCTATCTACATACCTGTCTTGTGCTTGATATTACCAAGTTAAATATTTCAAATTTGAGTCTGACTTGATTAGTCAATTTTCTTCAAGATGTGTGTATTCATATAAAAACTGTGTGGCCAGGCTTAGGCTCAGGGAGGGTCCTGTGTAGAGTTTAGGGGGCTTTCCGCACATGGCCTAAGTTTGTGATCGGGTTCCCACCGAACTTGGCTCGGGGACTCTCTTCTCAGCTTCAATCTTCCTCAATCCCAAGAGCACCAACAACCCACCACCACTCGAGCAACCAACCAATCAACTTTCAATCAACGACCCCCATCGAACAACAACAGCCTCCTCATCACCCATGGACCATCCGAACAAGCCTAGTAGCTCCCCTCAGCCAACCCAAATCAACACCCAGGAATGGATTCTTGATTCTGCTAGTGGACTTTATTGGAACAGCTCGGCCTCCCTTTCACTTCACCCCCTCCTACCCCCTTGCTACCGATGATCATTCTAGCGTTTACTTACAATCAGAAAAACGTCTCCTCTATCGCTTATCATCCCCCTCACCCTCCCTACCTTCCCCCCCCCACACACAACATTTCCATCTTTTGAAAATTCTGTCTCTTAGACTTCTACCGTGTTTGGGCCCAAGTATGAGGACGAAAAATGGACGTACGCTGATCAAGAGGGCAATCTGGTCGATAAACCGGACGATGGTGATACGAAACCCGCATCTCCCCATCAAAGATCCTGCGCAGAACGTTGGACTAAACCGAGACCAACGAACGGCCGAAGAGAAAAAGTAACCTACCAGGGTGTCTACGAAGAGGAAGAAGGCGAACTTGCCAACCATGATCTCGATCGAGGCCCAAGACAGGAGACGGGTCCGAAAGTTGTCCCGCAGGATGACGCCGATGATCAGGAAGAAGGTGAACTGGATAGTATCGAAGAAGCCCTGCTCGATTTCCACGATTCGATACCAGCCCCTGAACCACCACGGCCGTTCCCGATTCGACTCTTGGCCCTTCCCAAGGCGCGCGCATCGACCATCGACCCGACCCGTAACCTGCTAATCCTTCAACCCGGTGTGGATGAGCCAATGGTTTTAGGAAGAGATCGAACGTTCGAGCCCTCGCTTCGGCTCAAGGAGATGGAGGTCTCCAAAACTCATGCAACATTCTTCTGGCGAGCCGATGGTGAACACGCTTCTCATGGCTGGCACATCGTCGATAATGCGAGTACCCATGGTACTTTCATATCCCCCTCCGACGCCCACCATCGTGCTACCCCGAATCGGTTATCAAAACCCAGGAAAGCTAGTTTGCCCTACAAGCTCAACCATCTCGAGTAAGTTCGCTGTCCTCAATCGTATCCTCTCCTGAGCTGCTACTTACTCATCCATGTCCTCCGACGGGGGTTTTCTTTTTTCTATTTGATAGTACCGTCATGGTTGCTTCAGACGAGGATCCGGTACTCGCATTTCAAGTTCATCTACACCCACGATTTCCATCCTCTTGTCAAGCATGTGCTCTACTCTCTGATGAATCCAACCGAATGAGTCTGGAATCCCAACAGCCGGTCTCACAAGACGTATGCAAGATAGCCGAAATACGAGAGGAAGAGAGATATGCGATGAGTCCGGCGGATGTCAAGCTCGAGCGAGAACGGAAACGGAAGATCGAGATGGCCAAGCTGCGGAACCAGTTCTTCGGCGACGAAGCCGAGCCGGCTTCGAAGAAGCAGAAGAAACCCGACCGGACGGGTGCCACGACGAACCAGCAGCCTGTTGAGGAAGAGAGTGTCGAGCAACCGGAGCCGAAGCAGTACCTAGACCGGGCGAAATTACGTCGGCAGACCCACGGCCGATGCCCTCCCTCGGCGCCTATCCAGACGCCCAAGCCGTCGCAGGTCACAGCAGGATCCAGCCGGATTCCGGAGACGCAGGAGCCAGAGCCCATGAGACGCGGGGCAGCCATGCTGGCCAAGCTCGGAGGCAACCCGGACTCGCTGAAGTCTATGGGCACCCTCATCCAGGCTAGGACGCTCGGATCCTCCCAGGCTGGCTTGGGCAGCCGCGAACTCGTCGTCGGGGTCGAGAATATCGGACGTCCTAAGGATTGGAGAGAGGAGGCTAAGCTGGCTAATTGGAGACGCTATGGCCCTGCCAAATAACTTTCTCCCTCTCCTGTTCGTTCTGCCTCTTCTTGCCAAATTTGATTTTTTTTTTCGTATTTGTGTTTGTATTTCTAGGCATCCCTTTTCATTTACAGCAACAGTCAATCATCATCATTTTTTGTTTGTTTGAGGCTATATGCAACATTCCCTCATACTCCCTGCGTCTCCGTCAATTAGTTTCAGTCTCTAGTTTTTTTACTCTCTGCTTTACTTACCATAAACCAGTTGTTTTCTTTATCTTTCTATAATCACAAGATGCTTACTAATTACTAGTCTTGTGAATCGTCAAAAAACAAAATAAATAATAGAATGTTGGTCTTTATGTGAGAATCATAGCAAGTTGCAGCAAGATAGACAAGATGATAAAAAGAAACAAAAATGGATGGATTGGAACTGGAGAGGAGTGAATGAATCATAGGAGGACTGTGAAGAAAGACCTGATGAGAAAAGGAAGGAAGGTCAAACTGAAGGACAGAGGAAATTGATTCAAAGAAAGAGATCATCAGGTGTGGTTCTGCTGCCCTATGGCTCAGTCATAGCTAACATGATCTACATTCAATATGTGCCCTGTTCCTACAGTGTGCTGAAATTTCTGTCTAGTTTAGTCTTTCTTGACTCTTCTTTTTCATTTTTTTATCTCACTACATAGTCCTTCTGATGTAAACCTGATCTTAGAATCAAGGCAACTCAGTCTATGAGACCAATTCTTAGAATCCCCCATTTATTTCTCTCTCTCTCTCTCTAAAATTATTCAAACTACAGGTACTGACCTCTCTTGAAGTTGTATCAACGGTGCAACAGAGACAATACGAGACGGCATCAGGCGTTTATTTGTATTGTCTAGAGATGGCCTTGGGGTACCTGGCACCTGTTGGCGGGTACCCCCCTACCCCTGATGGTACCCGCCAAGTAATGCCAGGTGCGGTACTTGGTGCCTGCTTTTGGGCAAAAAAGCAGGCGGTACCCTGGTACCATTAAGGGTACCCGCCCACAAACCCCCTCCTCGGTGGCTTGACCAAGACTAACTGGTCTGTCCAGGTTGCTGGAGAGGACCCCTCCTTGGCAACCTGATCAAGACCAATCAGGTCGCCGGTAAGGGCCCTCCTTGGCAACCTGATTGGTCTCAACCAGGTTCCCTGGAAGAATCTCCGGTAGCCAGGCGGTACCCAGCAGGAGTACCGCCGGTACCCGTCATACTTGAGTGGGTGCGGTACCCGGTGTCCGTTTTGGCCGAAAAAAGCAGTTGGTACCCGGGTCCCATGGAGCCATCTTTAGTATTGTCTCAGAATAGAGATCGTTCGTTGGTACTTTCTGCAGGTACCTGGTACCTCCTGGGGGGTACCCCTCACACCCGCCCCACACCCTCCAGGAGGTGCCAGGTGTGGTACTTGGTACCTATTTTTGTGAAAAATTGAACAGGTACCTAGGTACCTCTACAGGTACCTCCTCACTTTCCTTTTGTAGCCTCTGTAAACCATGCACCAGATGGCTTAGTTGAGCGGTAGAGCAGGTCTGTACCATGACTGTGACATGGGTTTGACTCCCATAGCTGTCACTATCTTTTCATGTCTCTTTATTCCCTACCAAAAGGGGGGGGGGCTGCATGAAAACCAAGTGAGAAAGAGAGGGGAGGTACCTGAGGTACCTGCATTTGCACAGGTACCTTAGGTACCCCCCGGGAGGTGTCAGGTGTGGTACATGGTATCTATTTTCTTGAAAAAAATGAACGGGTACCTAGGTACCAACAGGTACCTAGGTCCAAACAAACGATCTCTATCTCAGAATTTGAATACCCAAAAATACCGGATTTGAGTTGTCTCACTTTCCTGAGACAATACACATGTATCGTCTTTGGAAAGTGAGACAAGTATTCTGTATTGTCTCACATGACTGATCCCACCAAAAAAATATTTGATACACAAGATATTTGGCCGTGGCCCGTATTGAAGAAAAAAAACAAAGACAATTTTTTTTTTTCATTTGTAATCTGAATCCAAGACAATGGATTTTCTCACCAACCAAGAAAATACTGATACCGGTATCAGGCTCAAAATAAAGAAGATACAATGTGATATGAATACATGTCTTGTATCTGTTGCACCATTGGTTGTGTCCAGTTAATCTAATCCAGCTGCTTCCAGCTGCAAGAAAAATGTAAATCATTGGTTCATTCTCTTTGTGTGATCTTGATAGCCCTTGTAGACTTAAGATCTTTCTCATTGCCCCTCTTTCTCTCTCCCTCTTTCTTATCTCTCAGTGGAGCTCAAGTCCTGGAACACTTGGAGGTTGACCCAGATGGCATCCACTTTCAAGTTATCTTATCCACAACAGTCTCATTTAGGGTCAAGAAATGGGCCAGACTGCCCATGGGCAACCCAGGCCCCCCTTGGCATTGAGGTGGTTGATGACCCTTTTAGGCAGCTCAGCGGCCCAAATATGACAACCCAATGGGCCCTCAGTTGAGTCCAACAGGCCCCCTGAGGCTGCACCAATCTCTAATTATGTAGCTATAGACTATAGTCTGTGAGACTATGATTGTACACAGTACAGTGATGCACCATGGTTACATGCCTATGCCAATTAATAATTTCTGATCTTAACATCCGGTCATCAACTCTCAGTGACACTCACACAGTGGTCAGTAAACTTGACATGAGCTTAAAGTGCCATGTAGAGTTAGAGGGTGCTCATGGGTGCTGAGGTCATGTTGATAAACATCAGATACTCAATGTTTGTTGTCAGTGCCTCTTTTGAGAATGGGAAAGGTTAGGGATCTTAGCAAAGCAGTCATCTTCCCTTTTTTTGTAACCTTTCTAAAAAAGCAGAGATTTACAACTGATGTGGAATGAAAAAAATTTGGATGGGTTTATATGGGAATGTATTTGAAGGAGATATACATAGATCCTTGCATTTTTTCTGCAACAATTTCAATCCATTTGCTGATGTCAATCCCATCATTATCAGATTCTGTCTGAAAATGAATCACAAGTGGATGTTCACCATATGAGTATTTATTGTGATGATGTTCAAAGTGATTGACCAAGTAATTTATGCATTCCATCTTCTTATTAAGGTCTGGCTTGTCAATTGTTTCGGGAGTCAACTCATCTATGATTGACCTATAGTTTCTCTTGAGAAAATCAATGATTGATAAGATGTGATATATCTCAAACTTGTCACTGTATCCATAGCAATAATCTGGAGGATTGTCAAAGTATGTGATCATTTCCTGGATTAATGGAGCAATTTTGTGAGTTTGAATCAACTCTTTTCTTTCATTTTCATCTATGGTGTTACTTGTTGATATCAAAGATAGAGCATCTAGATCCTGAAGGAAAGTGTCTGCGCAAAATCCTTTCCAAATCCTCCTAGACTGTTCATCTCTGGGCAAAGTTTTGTAATGAATTCTCTTGAGAGAAGGTTGCATGAATGATTTGATCAAGTGGTAGACAAGCAGATTTTGATCACTACTTGAAAGTATTTCTGAAATTTATGGCAATTTTAGTCAGTAAGAAAGAATCCATAGGTTGTTCTATTTGAAAAATGTCATAGTTGAGCTGGTAAAAAGGATAAAGCCTACCTTCAATGGCTCTCCGGAAGGGCTCCATGAATGCGCTCGTTTTCAAAAAGACTATGCCGGGCATGAATGAATTGAAATAATAATTTGATACCATTTTAGCAACACCGTTTCCTGCGGAAATATAAGATTTGATCAATTGCATAAGAATTGTTGGTTCGAATATCTTCATTGTTGCAGTGAAACTTGGTGGCAGTAATTCAAACTTGATTATATACTCAGCCAAAAGAAACATTGCCTTTGTGAAATAAAACAGGTTGATGCGGTCGTATTCTGTGAGCTCATTGTCCTCAAATGTGAGCAGCTCCACTTCTAAATCTGCCCACAACAGGTACTATTTTTTTGAAAATCTTTTCTCTGAGCATTAGAAGTGGATCGCCGTACAATTCAATCCAACCTTGCTTTGTTTGGCATACAGGGAGGCCTAGATTTTTAAGTTTTTTCCAGCGGAAGTGTTGGAAACTCTTGTGTTTTGATCCAATCCAATTCTGTTTTGCCATGTCTTTTCCACTTGATGTAATATCCAAAGACTTTATGCCCAGTGTTTTCTCTTCTTTGCTGAACAGACTGCTCTCAGGTTGCATTCGGATTGTCTTTTTAGGCTGTGGTACCGCGAGAACAAAAGGTTTTCCAGTATGGAGCTCAAACAATTTTTCTTGGACTAGCTTCTTCAATTGACGATCAAAATCTCATTCCAAGTTCAGGATTCCGAAATCTTGGTTGAAGGTCTCCAATCGCACATCTGATATCCCAGCTTCCTCTTTTCAAGCCAGAAATTCCGGCTACATGTTTCTCAATAGAGGGAGAATTTAAGCATCATGAATCTGCAGATATATAAAATGACATATCAATCAGGAGGCTCACCTATGTTTTCCGATATTATTGGTTGCAATCTCTTCAGCTTGTCCGTCTTTGTCAACTTCCTTTCTGGCCAATATAACTCTGCAGCATTCTCCTCATACCTGGACACGTCAGGCTTGGTCGGGGTTGGCAAATCAAAAAAAGATTCAATTCGCCCCAACCCCATGTGTTCAGTTTGGAAATGTTTAAATAAGGTTGATTGGGCCAGCTGGTAGCCAGATACTAACATCTGCAGAGCGGCGTAGGCCAAGAACCTCTTTGATGGGATGCCTATGTTGGAAAGGAGGAGATTCCTTTGGTCAATATGCATGTCTTCTTATGTTTGCTTTGTCAATATGGTGAAGGAGGAGCTTATAGGTGCATGTGAAATATTTAAATAGCTGAGACAGAGGAACTTGCATGGAAAGTGCCTTGTTCAATCACAGTGTTTTCCCAATGTCTGACAAGTTTTAGACTATCTGCAGTGTAAGGGAGGACCCCCACAAACACCTGCTTTATTATCTTGTGTGTGTGACAAGTAGGAAAACTTGTTTTTAACCTTATTAATGGAGATGGAATGATACTTGTGCTTTAACATGTCATAGCAATTTATTTTTGAAAGAATGAGATAAACTGTGAACCCCAAAGTTACAGAATCAGTAAAAAAACAGGAAATTCAAGATTTTAAGGCTCTCTGAGGAGTAGAAAGCTACCTTAGGGATCAAAATCAGGCAGATTTGGCTGCATGTCGACCATCCTGGCTCTGTCTGAAAGCTGATTGAATACCATGGACTGGGTAGAAATTGCTAATTCTAGTCGCTGGTCCAAGCCAACATTGGGCTTGGCAAGCTTGAAAAACCTCTTGCATTTTATCTTTCTGATAGTGATATAGGTAGCTACTGTACCACTACCAGCCCAATTTTGGTACAAAGAGGCCTTTGGATGCTTGGGATTCCTTCACACTCCTCACAAGTTGCATCCATAAACCATTCTACCTCAAGTTTCATCACTAATGACCGCTACTTGGAGCTGGTTAGGAATATGTTCAATGCATAGTTTGAATATTTCATAAATCCTGCCCGTTCTTCCAAGACAGTTTAATTCTTTTCTTCTGTTTCAATCACATCCCTTTTCATTCCCCCACAATGGCTATTTGGTCTACCAATGAGTCTCCCTTGTTGCAGGTGTATTTCTTCTTTCCCCATTGGTAATACAAACATCACTTGCTTCTGAACTCATTCCAGAGTGCAAGCCTCCTTGAGAGACTCATTATATCTTATTCTGAGTCCCTAAATACATTTTATTCTTGAATACCCAGCTCATATCCTTCTCATCATCAGGCCCTATGCCACATTTCTGTGTGATGAACTGGGGTGGGGTAGGTCAGCCTTGAGGCAAGTCTTGAAATCAATGGTGCTGAAACCCTCATGATCCTTTCTGTGAACCTTCTCACTGTGTTGCTATCTCAACTCTTTATTTTCCTATGCTTTTCAGAAAAAACAATTTATCATCAAGCAAAACATAATCCCAACTCCCACCCTCCTCCTCTTCTGCACTTGAGCTTTCCTTGGCTCACCCCCGATCCTCCCTTTCTTCTGATATAAAATTCTCCTTCCTTTCAAACTCAATTACTCCTTCCCTTCCATCTCAACATACTTACTTCATTTCAATATCAACTCCTCTCACCTCTTCCTTGTCCTCAAAACTTAATCAAAACCCCTCAACCTCAACTTCTTTTTCAAATATTGTGATGGCTACTATTTGAACTTGAGGAATATCTGTCTACCTTTTGGATCATCTTGTTGAATCCAATTTGTTGAGGGATCCTTCAGCCTCTGAATTGATCTCAATCTTCTCTAATCTTTTTTATTTTCACTGCCGAATCCTGGTGCAGGCAGTGGTGACTTCCCTGCGCCTCAAACTGACAAGTTGCCAATACACGAAGTTGCATTTAATGTGATCACTTCACGACACTTTGGCTCCTACTTCTCTCCCCGTGTTTCATGAAGAGAAATGAGCGTCGAGAATAAATATACAGCCATACTGCATCATTATGCAGTAGGAGGTGCACGCAGTGACTCCTTCCCATCAAGAACTGGTTGCTTATGGGCATTGCATCAGTATGGTTGTTGCATAGCTTTGTGGTGGGTGGCTATGGAAGTTTGATCGACGAGTGTCAACCAAGGAGTTCTTTCATAAAACTGGCCAATACTGTGCTGTAGTCTTCTCGAGAAGAGTCTGTAGTTAGGTATTTGTTATTCCTCTCCACTGCGTAACTTCAGCGGCGAGGAGAGCCAGTTCATTAATTTCTCGCTTATCCGAGGATAAACTCCGCTGGATATTTGTGAGGCAGTTGCTGTGAAGGTCGCGATGTCTGGGCTTGGTCGGTTCGTGGGCTGTTTCCCGTTGACCGAGCGAGCACCCAGGTTTCAAGCTGTTGACCATAAAAAAGTTAAAAACACACATCACCCAAGCATCAGATTCAGATTCGTGAACCATAGATAAATCACTCGAGCGTCCCAGATTCCTACCCAGGCTTCACAAATTAACACACTCCAGTCTTGATTCCTAACAACTTGGTGAGCAGCGCTGGATTATGATATATGTGCTCTAAAACCAGTCGAGCCGTACTGTGTCTAAACTTTGAGCCATCATGATCATGATACGAGCTGACCGACATCTTGAGATCACTTCAGGTTTTGGGATCTGACGTATCATACCATACTCTGATAAAATGGATAAATTTTTGGATCGTTTCACTTCCAAAACCCCGGTTTCCGGTAGGTCAAGAGTTGTTTTGCTCTTGTTGTTAGGTCATCTTACCAATCGATCGGATCGAAGATTCTGACGCCGATCGTTTCTCAAAATTAGATAAACTCGAAAGACTCGGAGAAGGGATCAAAAAAATATTTCATCCCAACTGTGAGTAGAGTCCAACCCCGTGATCTGCAACTGAGGGCGCAAATAAGTACTTACCCTCCTGATACTCACCCACTCGTTCTAGCTCGACACGATGACCCAGAGGAGAAAATACACGATGAAAGACTGGAGGCCATTCGGGCCCGACATCGCTTTCAGAGCTTTGCCAAGGAGAGAGAGGGTAATCAAGTCAAGTGGTCAGTCATCCTCAATCTTATCTCGATCGCACACCTAAAGCCTAAGATCTCCTGTTACCTCCTTACCCCTCGTAGGTACGTCGACGCCCACGATTACTTCTATGCAGCCTCTGAGCTGTTGGAATCAGCTCGATCTTGCATCTTCATCCAGGATTGGTGGTGAGTCTAGCATTCACCATCCCAAAGAATGAAAACGACCTGATGTTCTCGATGTATCTTCCCAACCAGGTTGAGTCCGGAGCTTTACTTGCGTCGCCCACCTAGTCAGAATGAGCTCTGGAGATTAGATCGGATTTTGAAACGCAAAGCCGAGGCCGGTGTTAAGATTTTTGTTATTGTCTACAAAGGTACGTACACAATATCCTTGTTTGAGAGCTATCTCTTGGTCTTGACCTTTCGTAAACTAAGGTCTATTTTTCATCCATCGTCTTACCGATTTTTCTGATAGAGGTCAACGTTAGTAATACGATGAATTCTGAGCACACTAAGCACGCGTTGGAGGCGTTACACCCTAATATTGCCTGCATGAGACACCCTGATGTAAGCATGATTAGTTTGATGCTTTTCTCTGGAGCTGTTTTATTAAACGTCACCATTTCTCTTTGTAGCATTTTGATGGCGAGGAGACGGTCTTATTTTGGGTAGGCACATAATCCCTGGCGTGGAAGGAATGAGCTTGGCTTGTATAAGGCTCAATTCGTACTAACAGGTTTAATTTTCTCTGTAGTCACATCATCAAAAAGTTATAGTGGTGGATGGTATGTCTCGTTCCTAGCACAAATCTACTCATCTTGGGAAAATGCTCATGTTTTCTTTGCATCACTCTTCAAGACAATATCGCATGTATAGGTGGTCTGGACTTGTGCTTTGGTCGCTGGGATACCTCTTCGCACTCGTTGGCTGATTGTCATATTTCAGACTTGACCCAGACAGTCTGGCCAGGTAAAAAAGTTTTCAACTTAATTTGTATCCGAGGGATCAAGCTTGATATCTGAAGTTCAATATATCCTCTTCTGGTTGATCATCTGTTCAGGCCAAGACTATAATAACGCACGAGTTCAAGACTTCCAAGAAGTAGAGAATTGGGCTAGTAATCAGCAAAGTAGACTCGAGGTCCCAAGGATGCCTTGGCACGATGTACGCCCGTTTTGCTCAATTAAACCAATTGCAGTTTGATTTGGAATTGATTTTGACGAGCGGTCATTTGTTTGATTTTTCGCAGGTGCATATGATGATTCAAGGCCCTACGGTCTTCGATATCTGTCAACACTTCGTGGAACGATGGAACTTTATTTACAACTTGAAGTATGTGAAAAAACGTGGTACCAATGGCCGATACGAATTACTCGCTTTTCCTCAGATCCCTGGTCAGGGCATGCCCGACGATCCGTCGCATCCAGACCATGAGCCTGCGACCCAACACCCTCATTATGAGAATTGGGCTCAAGCGGGCCGGCGGTTTTTTGGCATGGAAGAAAACGCCAGGACAAGCACCGATTTACCAAGAGTCGATTTAGGCCCCAAGGGTAACATGAATGTTCAAGTCGTTAGAAGTTGCGGAGATTGGAGTAACGGGACGACTACTGAGGTGAGAAAAGCATTTTATTGGCTGAGTACACATATGGAATTCAGTGAGAAATCGAGTGATTCATGGTTCAATGCTTTGTGATCTAGCATTCCATTCAAAATGCTTATATTCAGCTTATTGAGCAAGCTCAGAGATTCATATACATGTCAGTAGCTCCTCTAGAGAGTAATGACCATTGCGTGTTGGTGTGCTGAACCCAGCTTTTGACTGTCAATTTGTCATCAGTGAAAATCAATTGTAAGTTTCTTCCCTGAATGGATCCTAGCAAGCGTTAGAAAATGCTAACTGCAATCTCCAACATTTTTGTCACGTAGCTTTATCACAACTTGCAAGACTTCCAAAGACAGCCAGATCCGTAATACCATTGGCTTGGCTTTGGCGAACCGCATCATCCAAGCCGATCGCGCCAATGAGCCCTTCAAAGTGGTCGTGGCGATCCCATGTATCCCTGGGTTCTCGGGCAATTTAGATAATCCAGAAGAATCTGGCGGGACGATGGCAATAATGGATTGGACTTACAAGTCGATTTGTCGCGGTCCAGGTTCTATTTTTAGTCATATTCAAACACAGGGAGTGGATCCTCGCAAATACATTTCGTTCTACAATCTCCGAAGCTTCGATCGGATCGCCTATGCTCCCGAAACGTTGAAAGAAATCGAAAAATCGGCAGGCATTAGTTATTACGAAGCTGAAGCGGCGTTGGCCAGGGTTTACCTTGGTGAATCCGCTAGCTCTCAAGAGTTGGAAAAGAACAAAGAGGTTAAGTTCAAACTTGCACAGAAAGGAGAAAGCATGGAAGCTGGGACACGTGATATGATGGCACGAGACGGTGATACAATCAAGGTCGAGTTACCGAAGAGTGTAGATGAGGCACGGCAACGTTTGAAGAGTTGGTCGGAGGCTGCCTCTCGCCATAACAGAGAAGTCCCCGCATCAATCGCTACGCAAAACAATTCGAATGGATTAGAGAATTTACCTTGGTTGGGTTGCGAACAATCTGAGCGGGATTCCTTCGTGACTGAAGAGTTGTACATTCACACTAAATGTATGATTATCGACGACCAAAAAGTAATTATGGGTTCTGCGAACATCAATGATCGAAGCATGGTGGGCGATCGGGACAGTGAAATCGCGTTGGTGGTCGAAGATCAGGATATGATTGAAAGTACTATGGCCGGACAGAGCGTAGGTCATTTTTGACCCCTCACATTTCTCTTTGACACTGGGAGATCACTCGTATGCTAAGGATGATGCTAATGCTTGTTTGACGTCACATGATTAAAAGTGGAAAGCAGGCCGTTTTGCGGCCACGTTACGCAGAAGGTTGTACAAGGAGCATCTTGGTTTGCTCCCACCTCAATCCAATTCCCTCCAGCCAAATGAGCCGACGAGGTCTATGCTGCCGGTCAATGTGCCGCAAGAAGATGATATGGGTCGTGGCGAGGATCAAATAGTAGCCGACCCGATGGGACGTGAACTTGAGGAGATGTGGAACGGAAGAGCAAGTGTCAATACTCAGGCATTCAATAAAGTGTTCCGATGCGTTCCTGCTGCCGGCATCTTGAACTGGAAAGATTACGAGGGTAAGAAACGCTCTAAGTCCGAACCGGAGCGAAGGAGACTTACGAATTTGTCGAATTGTTACTTCCAGAATACGTGCCGAGTGGTCCCAATGCACCCAAGGTGTGCCATGTCGCACCAACTGCTGGCGACGTACATGAAGTCAAGGTAAGAGCAAACTCGCTGAGGAAGTAAAATAAATGATGATTGAAGTATTTGCTCATCGAAGTGGCTGTGACCCGTTAATAAATTCAGCGCGAATTGAGTCGAATTCAAGGTCATCTTGTTGAAATGCCGTTAGATTTCCTGGAGCAAGACAAGATGTATCGAGAGGGCAAAGCAGTAAGCACTCTCTCTATCTCCCAGTGGTGTTACTTATTTCATAGGTCATCGCTCAATACTCGGTTTCACCGTTTTTTAATTCTGGTTTTATCTCTGTTTGACAGGTCAACCTTGTCACCATGGACATCTACACTTGAAGACCTGCAAATGTGATCCAGTCTACATTGCGATTGATCGCGTTTATTCTACTATTTTTAGCCCAGACTGTTGTACTTTATACGTCCACACATGTTCCTCAACTGCGGTATTTCTTCCTCTTTTGGTTTCAAAAAAAAATGTATATAAGATGTTCTGCGCTTGGTGGCACTCCCTATTTGGGGCAAGATTTTATTTCGTGAACATAGATAATATTTCCGATCTCATCACTTGTTATGGATCTGTTGTCGTGCGTCTGTCGACATAGCCCAAGTCATCAAAGCTGGCAGGTCAAATGCGATCCTCAGAGGTTCAGATGCTACATATATAAATACGTGCCAACAAACAAACTTGGGAGCGATGGGAGGAAATAATGATTATCGTTAGTTGGCGAGTAAAAAAAGAAATGGGCCCAAAAGGAAGCGCCCAACGTGGGGCTCGAACCCACGACAATTCGATGGCAACCTGGGAGGAGGTCGAAAACCTTGTATAAGAGTCGAATGCTCTACCAACTGAGCTAGCCGGGCAGCTATGATTAAGTAACGCCAATCTCAAACTATAAATCAAGCTTGAGAAAAACTGACAACTTTTAATTATGTAAAACCATGATAGCAAATTGTTCCATGTAATTGACATTGTGTGAATAGACAGGGTTTACTTATCACTCATATGTGAAGGGGAGCATTGATACATGAGCAAACTGATTGTCTTCCTGAGAACAATCAGTGCTTTCATTCAATCATATACACCACCGGGCGTGGTGGATGGCATTTGGGCACCCAATCGGATGTACCAAATGCCATCCGCGCTTGGCCCTGCAAGGAGCATCCATCATGCGACTTGCATTTTGCTGAACCCGGATGGCAGGGCCAAACCATCCGATTCATGGTCAGCGGGCCATCATTTTTCCATCCAACCGTATGCCTGATGGATGGTTTCGCTTTTCAGGCTGTCGGCTGGATGCGGGTCTGGATGGAAAAATGCCATCCAAACTTGCATCCATCGGATGCCTTTTCAACCAACTTTTTTTTTTTCTTTTTTTTTTCTCCTTTTTTTTGGGCCTTAATAAAAAAACGCGGTTTTTCCGCGTTTTGACGCGGTTTTGATGCGCCGCAGCACACGCGGTTTCCGCTTTTAGACGCGGTTTCGTAATTAATTTTTTATGGGTTATTTTTTGACTTTTGAATTTTTAAAGTTGTTTCCTAGGTTTCAAAGCGCGTAGAATTTAATGGTAAAAACCATTTTCCATAAAAATGAATTTTGATTATTGATTTTTTTTTCCACTTATTTTTCAATTAATTGTTTGCATGCATGTATGTACCTTATTTTTTATGCTTTTGTGAAATTTTAAAATTATTTCCTAGGTTTCAATGTGTGTAGAATTTAATGGTGCAATCCAATTTTTTTAAAACTCAACGGTTCATTTTTAATACTGAAATTAGACCCATTTTTTCACTTAATTTTTTACAGCTTAATTCTCATCATTTTTTGACATTTTAAATTTATTTCCCACACTTTAAGACATGTAGAAAATTATGGTATCAACCATTTTTCCCCAAAATGAAAACTATACCTTGAATGCCGCATTTGACACGTTTTTTTAATTAATTCATCACTTTTTCACTTAATTGTTTGCATACATGTGTGTACCTTATTTTCTATGCTTTTTTGAAATTTTAAAGTTGCTTCCTACATTTAAAAGTGTATAAAATTTAATGGTAACATCCAATTTTCTTAAAACTCAACAGTTCATTTTTAATACTGAAACTAGACACTTTTTTCAATTAATTCTTTACATGTTATTTCTCAATATTTTTTGACATTTTAAGTTTATTTCCCACACTTTAATACATGATAAAAATGATGGTAACAACCATTTTACATAAAAATCAGCGCTTGTTACTGAATACTGCAGTGGACAGGCTTTTTTTAATGTTTTTTTGATTGATTTTTACCGGCCTGATTTTAAGCATTTTTTTATTTTAAATTTATTTCCTACATTTACAAATGTTCAGAATTGAATGGTGAAGTCCAATTTCACTCAAAATACAAGCTTCAATCTTAATAGATGAGCGTACCCTGTTTCTTGCATAATTTGTACCATATACAAACTTTATTTGAATGCAAAATGGATACAGCCATCAATTTTGAAACCTTTAAAAGTGTAGGAAATGAGCTTGAAATTCCAAAAAATAAGGATAATTGAGCGTGTAAGAATTAATTCAGGAAACACGTCAAAGGCATTATTCAAGATATAGTTTTCATTTTGATGAAAATTCGTTGTTACCATAATTTTATAAATGTTTGAAAGTGTAGGAAACAAATTTAAAATGTCAAAAAATAATGAAAATTAAGCTCTTAAAAATCAATTGAAAAATATGACTAATTACAGTATCCAGAATGAACCGTTGTGTTTTATGGGAATTGAATGTTACCATTAAATTTTACACACTTTTAAATGTAGGAAACAACTTTAAAATTTCAAAAAAGCATAGAAAATAAGGTACACACATGTATGCAAACAATTAAGTGAAAAAGTGAAGAATTAATTAAAAAAAATGTGTCAAATGCGGCATTCAAGGTATAGTTTTCATTTTGGGGAAAAATGGTTGTTACCATCATTTTCTACATGTCTTAAAGTGTGGGAAATAAATTTAAAATGTCAAAAAATGATGAGAATTAAGCTGTAAAAAATTAAGTGAAAAAATGGGTCTAATTTCAGTATTAAAAATGAACCGTTGAGTTTTAAAAAAATTGGATTGCACCATTAAATTCTACACACATTGAAACCTAGGAAATAATTTTAAAATTTCAAAAAAGCATAAAAAATAAGGTATATACATGTATGCAAACAATTAATTGAGAAATGAGTGAAAAAAATAATTAATAATCAAAATTCATTTTTATGAAAAATGGTTTTTACCATTAAATTCTACGCCTTTTATAGTGTAGGAAACAACTTTAAAAATTCAAAAAAACTCAAAAAATAACCCATAAAAAATTATTTAAAAAACCGCGTCTAAAAGCGGAAACCGCGTGTGCTGCGGCGCATCAAAACCGTGTCAAAACGCGGAAAAACCGCGTTTTTTTATTAAGGCCCTTTTTTTTTCTCTCTTTTTTTTTCTCTCTTTTTTTTTTTTTTTTGTAAATCACACCGGTGGTAAATCAACTGTAATTTAACTTTCAAGGTTAATTCCACAGATGGGGTAATATTATTGGTAGTGTTAATTCATGTTATTATACTACTTACAACTCAAAAAGATAAACTGAAAACCAATAAAAAAGAAATATAAAACCAACAAAAAAAAGAAAACCTGGTGATAAAAAAAGAAAGCCCGGTAATAAAAAAAGAACATCTCATGATAAAAAAAAGAAAATCTGGTGATAAAAAGCAAACAGAGATGGAAATGATAATGAAAAAGCAAAAGATGAAAAATAAAAAACATTGAAATAGAGAAAATGACCTAAGAACACTGCTCAAGTGTTGCCAGTAGAGCTTGCCATGCGGTTGCGGATAATAATGTCGAATTGCACTTGAATTTCATCTTCATTTGGCATCGCAATGTTCTCCTCATCATCCTCGAGGATTTCGACAAAAGTTTTGCCTTGCCCAAAAAGGGCCTCATCCTTGACAAGGACTGCTTTGCCAAACCTGTTCCATTATGCAGTTAGTAAACAGACTATCAGAAAGCAAAAACAAAAAAGGAATAACTTACGCAGCCCGATAGTCTGTCCCACGTGCCTTGACTTCATTGATCTTGTCGTCAATCAGGGCCCATTGTGAGACCTTCTTGAATTGTGAATGAACCAATAGATCGACCGTTTGTAATCGTAGGTGTCCTATTTGGCCGTACCAAAGGACTGGAATTGCCTTATCTACATCAGCGTCTGTCATGGTGGCCTCGGCGGGGTGAAGGTATCGAAAAATTGCCCTAGCAATATCACAGAGCAGTGGAACTGGGCCTTCTTCGATGAGATCGCCTTTCGAGTTGATGATATTCTTGAGCAGCCGCTCCCTGATGGCCAGTCGGATGCGCCTGTGCATTTCGCGGACCATTTTGAAGAACTGCTCCTTGACTTCACAGTCCTTCTCCATTGCCGCCGGGAAGTGGGTTTTCCGGAACTCAAGAGGAAGCGCCATCAAATCTTGCTGATAACCAATGTCTGTCAGAATGGATCAAGTTGGAGAAAGAGGAAAAAAAGGCTTACCATGACAAATGTGAACAATGATGAATCACTGGTTCCAGGCTTCCATTTGCCTCGTGTGTATTGGTCAAGGTGTGGTCGAAGGAGTGCAGCTTTTGTAATATCACGGACACGATTCTAAAGAGGAATTGCACAGTGGAAAGTCAGAATGTAACAAACAAAGAGGGCAAGAGATAAACTGACCTTGAGTGCATTACTGTAGGCAAACCCGTCAGTAGAGATCTCATCACTCTTATCCTTGGGTGCCTGCGGCTGAACTTGAGAACCTTCTTGGATGCGCTCGAATTCCTTCATCACGAGAAAGGGGATAGCAGCGCCGGGAGTCTTTTTGTAACAAAAGGTGTCAGAAAAGACAAAGGAAAAGGAAAAAAGATAGTGAGACAACTTACATTTAAGATGGTGAAAGCCTCAAGGAAATGCTGATCGTCCAACTTGGTATATCGCCGAAGGTTCTTCAGATCCTCCAGGTGAAAGCTTGGTTGTGGTCCAGCTGGCCTTGTCATGCTGGAGAATGTATCGGGTTGAGATTGGCCAAACTCTTGATGGAACTGTTGATTCAACTCATCGATGACGGGGTCGATGGTGGAAGGTCGCTTGTCAAGATCGTTCTCATCTTCGATGATGCGGTCGTCTTGACTTCGATCCTTATCGCCATCATAGTCCATCTCGTCGTCACTCGGATGCTCGGATGGTGGTGGAAGAGGAGAACGGACATCGCTGAGTGGGGTTGTTTGTTTCTTGGCTTGATCATCACATGAAATACAGAAGGAAGAAAAAAAATGAGTCATCAACTTGTAATCGGAAATGAAGTAGGATGAAACAAAGTAGGAATCGATTACTCAACTGTCCGGGACGGTTTTGTTGGTCGACTTTTTCTTTGCTGCTTTATCTAAGAGCGAAGACGATTCAAAGAAAAAAAGAGTGGTTGACAGAACAAAGAACGGTCAACAGAAAAAGAACGGTCAACAGAACAAAGAACGGTCAACAGAAAAAAAAAACAAGAAAAGAAAAGAAAAAACATACCACTGTTGACCGCTTTGTCCTTCAACTTTTGGGACTGCTTTTTTTTGGAAGGCAGTCGGAAACGTGGGTCTCGTGGTGGTGGCATGACGAATCGAAGACGGAGTTGGGAGAGAAGGGAATCGAAACTGTGAACCTTGAAATTTAAGGTGGAGACAACGATGGTCAACAAAAGAGACGGAGTCAGCAGATCAGAAACTGTTAATCGATCCTGGTCGGAGATGATCATGACGTCACAGTGGACCACTCACCTTGGCCCCTTTCACAGCAAGATGATTGCCGATGTTCGTCCAAGTCGAGCGACACTTGTTCACAGCGAGACTATCGCCAGATTTCGTCCAAGTCGATCAACACCCTGGGCTTTTCAGCTGCGACAGAGAAAAGTCCATGAGCGACGCCACACGAGTCGAAATCGCCTAGAAAAATCAATAAACAATCAAAAAATCAACTCAACAGACAAGCCCACAGCCAAAAACAATTCGCCATGGCGGAGGCAAGCAGAACGTCAGTGGAATATTTTGACCATTTCAATTCAATCACTGATTTTTTTTTTGTGCTTTTAAGGAAACCTACCTGCTTTTTTCACGAGTCGAGAAAGGCGCCAAGACGGGAAGACCGTCTACCAATGTACTTTGTGTCCGGGGAGCGAGGTTTTGAGCTATCGGAGGCACGCGCTGGGAGTACAACATCGAGAGAGGGTTCGCGAGCATGACAAACAGATGGCAAGGGAACATCGTCAGCAAATTGAAGAGGAAAACGAACCACCGATTCAGATTGAAGCTGTAGAAAGCGATAATGGTGATGAAGAAGAAGAAAATACAACGCACAATATTGACGAGATACTCCATGCGATGGGCTTGACGGCGAACGGTCCTGGATCAACTGAATCGAGCCGCAGGAACCTCCACGAAAATATCGGCCTAGACGATTTGATCAACGCGCATCTTGAGGATTTATTTCGCCACGATGACGAGACTGTTTTCGAGTCCGACGAGCCAGCCGATCCAGAAGATGCCATAGACGATCCAGATGAACAATCGAGGTGGTTCCCTTTTAAAAACAAAATGGTGAGTTTTTTTTTCCTTTTCTTTTTTTCTTTCTCTTGATAATTGATGAATCAAAGGACTTACCAGAGAAAAAAAAATGTTGAATTGTTGTAGGAGCTTGTCGGGTCGTTGTTGATAGGACACACCCACTCACGAATCTCGCGCGAAATATACAACAAATTCCGTGCCGTGATAACAATCTGTGACACCCGGCTTCCAGCCTGGTCCACCGTCCGCAGCGCGCAAGAGCGCATCCGCAGAGTGCTTGAGAGTAAGCTGAACGCTTCAACAAGTCCTTTTGGGACACCTTGTTTTTCCCTCAGTGTCCGGGGAATTTTATCCCAGGTAAGGAAAAATAAATTTTAACTGTCTTATTCCCATTTTTTTTCATTATCAGTGCAATGGAAATTGTTAGCATGAGTATTTCTCTTTGGAAAAATTAACAATCCTTATCTCTCTGGGAAACAGGATTTGGCCAACCCCTTGGTGAGCCCACACCTCGATTATTATCCAGAAATGACCACAAGAAACCACTTCAAATTCTCCCAATCCAAGAAATGGCTCGAGGAGTTGGCTCCACAACATCGCGCTCCAATGTGTGAAGTGGAAGGAGAACATTACTATATTTTTGAACCCGTAGAATTATCTTCCAAAAAAATTGTTGTTCCAGTTTTTTTTTATCATCAAGATTCTCAACTATACTCCAAATGCATTGAACCAGTTTTCAGACAATTTGAAAAAGACAACAAGAAGATAATTAAATTGAAAATACCTCAACATATTGAATTCAACAATCCCAATCTTCAAATCATCCCAGCCATTCAGTTCAAAAAATCCTACAACAAAATCGAAATCAATGGAAAAAAGCTCTCTGAGGAATGTGCTAATGCAATATATGGTATTTTATTCTTCCTCTTCTTATGTTTTTGTTTTGAATATTCATTAAACCTATCTTTTTTTCATGCATGTTCACAGAATACAATGATGAAGACAAACAAAAAAAGATTGGTTTACCCAACCCTTGGCGTCAAAAGGCGGATGGAAGAATTATTTGACATGTCCCAATCACCTTATACTCTGACGATACTTCTGGAAATGTCTCCAAAAAATTCAACAAACATATCTCTTTTTACTTTACACTTTCTGGACTACCCCCCCATATTTCCAATCAGGAATATAATTGTCATTTCTTATCCACTTCTAATAGAGCATCTGTCTTGGAAATATCTGAGCAAATAGTCAAAGAAATGAAGTGAGTTTTTCTTTGTTTCAATTTAATCCAGGAATTCACTTGTTAAATCAATTTTGATTTATTTCTTGTTCAATTTTTTCTCTTTAATTTCAGTGATATAACCAGAAATGGTTTTGTGGCATTTGATTCGAGTATCATGGAGGAGGTCTTGGTCACTGGAATTGTCTTGTGTTTCTTAGCAGATTCGCCCATGCACGCGGAGATCACCAATACACCGAATCCTGGAACTTCGTTGAATCCGTGTCGAATGTGCACTTTACATGCAGAGGGGAAGGATAAGAGGAATACACCTGAATTTGTTCGACAATTCTTGATGATCAACCCTGATGGATCGGAGGTTTGTTTTCTTTATTAATTTATATTTCTTTGCAATTTTTCATGTGTATTCATGTTTTTTCTTTTTTGAATATTTTAGGCAACAGGAAAAGAAAGAAATTGGATTGATACAAAAGAGAAAACTTACGACTTATATTGTGTGGCAAGGGAAGAAAGTAATGCAGAGTTTGTTCGGAGGAAACTCAAATATGGTCTTACGGACTCACGAAACACCCGGTTTTTGGTGGAAGCAAAAAAAAACCTAAGAATTCGAGAACTGATGGAAGAACTTGAAGAGAACGAACCAGAAAGCTTGTTCAATTCTTTTTTGGAGCTTGAAGGTGACCTTTTCTCAATTTCTGCTGTTTATTTGTAGTTTTAATTTGAACACTGATTTGAAATAAAAACTCAATCTTCTTTTAGGATTTGACGGTGTTCAGGATACCCCAGTTGAAATTTTACACGTGGCTCTTCTTGGATTCGTCAAATATCTAGCGCGTGATATGGGGAAGAATCTCACCGAAAATCAGAAAGAAGAACTTGTTGGGCGGTTTCAATCATTCAACACTCAAGCCTTGAATATTCCACCAATAAATGCTAAATCAATGATGAAACATATCAAAAGCTTAGTTGGAAAAGAATTCAAGGTTCTTGTCCAAGCAGCTCCTTTTACCTTCTTCCAATTTCTCAGCCCTGAACGCAAAGCAATCTGGACGGCCGTTTGTCAACTAGTACCTTTTATTTTTATTACAAAGATTGAAAATATGCAAGAGTACATAACCCAGCTCAAGATTTATATCAAGAATTTCCTATATCACGCCATCCGAGCTACCGCACAATGGGTCAACAAACCGAAATTCCATCACCTTATTCATCTTCCTGAATCAATCCTCCGATTTGGATCAGCAAGTCTATTTTCTACAGAGAAATTTGAATCTTTCAACGGAGTCTTACGAGGAGCATCAATCCACTCAAACAAGCAGAGTGCTGGAAGAGATATAGCTGTAACTTTTAGTAACTATTATTCAGACAGATTTCTACTCTCTGGTGGTTACATTTATGATCATTCAACTCAAACTCATTCTACGGCCTCCCAAGATGTCCTCAACGTCTTTCAGAACAACGAAGTAATCCGCAAGTCTTTGGGTTACAGCTTCTCCGCATCAAACCCACTTCCACCTCAACAATTTCCATTTTCAAAAAACGCCAATGTCATTTTGGAGGATCAGCTTGAAGTCCCTCAACAATTGATTGAACATTGCTCCAGCCACAACATACGACAAGTCAGTCAAGTTCAACTCAACAAACATGATGTTCTTGAGAAAGGATGCTTTGTTCTTGTAAGTCCTTTCATTTTTTTCAAACATCCCCCTAATATTAACTGACATTGCTTACACAGATTCAACACCATGGCTCAGAATTGCTTGTTGGATCTGTCAAATCCTTATGGGAATTTCACTCAAGAGCAAGATCAAAGTTCTATATTCATTTCAACCAATTCAAACTCATGGGAATGAATGAATTGTATTCAATGAGGGAAATATGTAGGACAAAAACTACAAATTATTTTAATGTGATAGTAAGTATATTATTTTATTCTTTATTTTTACCGAATTCAAATAATTAATGCTTTTTTCTTGGCAGGATGTGCAATCTTGCATTAATGTTCAACATAATTGTGACAGGGGGAGATGCCCAACCAAGAGGACCAAGCCAGCAAACATTGAACATCAACAAACTGAAATAAAAACACCTCAAGCTATGCATACAGATGACAAGTATTTTGTGATCAACACAGCCTCATTTCATGATCCATTTCAACATCACAAAATTTCTAGAACAACTTTACCACAGATTTCAGATCAAGATATGGCACAATGTGTTATAGATGGCTTAAAAAATTGGAATGTACATCATTTTGATTTTGATCAACCCAATACAGCCACAGAAGATAATATTGTTGATGAGAATATTGATGATGATGTTATTTAGTCTTAAACAATAAATTATTATCCTCAGTATTTTTAGCTCAAAACAGATTGTAAGATACCAAATAAGTTTTAAGTAAATTCAAATTTCATATCAATGAATCATGGAGAAAGATAAAAAAAGTGATATGCAAAAACTATTAAAATTCAAAAAGTCTGGTTATTTTTACCCAATTCGATAGAATTAGAGTATTTATCCTGCCAATTTCGAACTCTAAAATCAGAATGTTTTATCCAACTATTCAAACCTATAGGATATGGGAATGGGAAATTCAATGGATCCTTCAGCTGAAGTGCAACAAAGTGAGATTGTTCAGGAATGAAAGCAATGAAAATTGGGGGGTTGTTGTTGGCAGGGGTGAAGTGTGGAAAGAAACCAAAAGAGCCTGATGTTGAGAAATAAAATACTGGAGTGCTAAAAGCATTGGCCAAAGGCTCTGCAGTCATTGGCATAGCCATCCAATGCTCCTTACCAACCGGCTCAGGT